GTCGATGTCTGTAACCGCTCTTAATGCGAAAATGCCCGAATTTCAGTACAGAGTACTAAAAAAACCGACCTCAAAAGTACGTAGAATTCTACTCAAAGTATATTGAGAGAAAAACGCCTTGAATTGGAGAAATAGCAAAATCAACCATTAAAGTAATTGCTCCTAAATTAAAGTTATAAAAATTTATAAAATTTATAAAAATGAACCTTCATGCGTGAACAGCCACCCTTCGAGGTGGATGATTTTCTTCAAAATGAAATGGGACCACTATGGCAGTACTCCCTTTCCAACAAAAAAAAGAATCATGAAAACCGGTTCACAAATACCGGAGTTATCGCGTAACATACATACAAAAAAAAGAACATACAGTCGAATTGAGAACCTCCTCGTTTTTTGAAGTCGGTTAAAAATTGAAGACAAAACACTATCACTATCGATAGTGTGTTGTTTGAAACAGTTTGGAACATGTAGTTGCTATGAATGATCTTGTCTATAGATTGAAGTCGTTGTAACACTAGCTTAGGTTACATAAAGATAATGGATCCAAGAAAAATAAAATGATGACTATAATACCTGTTTTAAATTCTCGTCTCTCTCGGGTATTGTATAGTAAAATTATACGTACTATAAAAATTATACATATTTTTATTAAACAAGGTACATTATTTTTTTCCAGGAATTTCTATTATTACTATCTTTTTAATTATTTCGTACCTAATACTATACAATTACAGTAACCTACTTAATAGGTATAATCAAACACCAACAGTGCAATTGACTAATGTAAAGAATTGTATAGTACGTTTAGTATTTAAGGGTGACACGCTCATGAACACATATTTAGAATATTATGCATGATGTCACACTGGCACAAGCGTTGATTAATAGTACGTACTTGAATTAGTGATGTCCAATGCAAGACCAGACAAGTCAAGGCTTACTCCAGCTTGACCTTGGTCTCGCATCAGTATACACGGTCTTGGTATTGCCCACTAAGTTTTGATCTTGGTCGGTTTTGGTATTGATTATGCAAAAAATATGCAAGAACAAGTCTGTGGCGTAAAGAAGCCGAGTTACGTGGCTATACATATGTAGATGGACTGTATTGGCACTTGTCATTATTCCTTGTTTGTCAATTAATAACATGATTTGGTTGCGTGCTATTTATTCTTCCTAAAATGATACGAAAGTAATAAGTAATGTAAGTAATGTTGAAATGAAATGACAATACGTAGTGGTTGGTAGTTGTAGTTGGATTTATTCTGTTTGAAATTACAATGTGAATCACTATGAAATTATAATGTGAATCTGTGAGAGAGTATGTGTCTAGCACAGCTACAGACGGCAGCCGGTGTGATTCTTCGGGTAATCCTATAACAATCTAATAGTCTGTGCCCTATAGTCTGTCTTTATTGAAGACAGTAAAATGACATTTGCAGAGTTACTAGTTTTCATAAAATTTTAAATAGTCATGTAGCTGTTGTCGACAGTTTTATCGATAGATTATGAAAGAAGACAAAATTTAGCCAAAAATGACTGAGTTGTGAATGTTACGACGTCCTAATGACTATTACTTGCTCTTTATTCTTATTTTGACAGATGGCATTCTAGTATCGAAACCTATTTTTATTTATATACATTTTATCAAGAATAGGTGGATTTGATTGGGTGTGGTTCGTAATATATAACAACAAAAGACATATTTTTAGTCGACAAAACGCTCAACAGATCTAATTAACTTATGGTACATAAACATTTGACATATTCTTGCGTGATATGAAGGCCTCTGGGTATAATAGACGATTGATATAACAACTTTCAATCTAATATACTGATGGCATAATATTCATTTTATATAAACACTTTGGATATAACATTCACTGAGTATAATGTTTTATTATATAATTTGAGTGGAGTTTAGGCCCAATGGCGAATTAACCGAATTTGTTTGCATTTGCTAGTTGGTTCGACCTCCTCCTATGGGTTTAGGTTAGATTAGTATATGACAAAGCCGAACGAGCCGAGCGAGCGCAGCGAGTGTGCCGCGGCAGCGGCCGGCGAGTGCCAGAATCGAAGTTGTTTGCATTTGCTAGTTGGTTCGATTTCCAACTGTGAGTTTAGGTTATGTTAGTATATGAAAAAGCTGCACGGGCCGAGCTAGCGCAGCAAGCGTGCTGCGGCAGCAACCGAAGTGTGCCAGAACTGAATTTGTTTGCATTTGTTAGTTAGTTTGACCTCCTCCTGTGGGTTTAGGTAAGGTTAGTACACGGAATTAAATATTGTGCTCAAAGTTTTAATAAATATATTTTATAACACAAAAAGCATTTAAAGCTATAAAAAACAATTATATTTTGCGATAGCATGTAATGAAATAAAACAATTATTATCAACGTAATATAGGGCGCTTCAACTATTCGTAAAACGAAATACTGTGTTATATTATTTAATACATTATACTGGTAGTACTTATACCATTTGTTCATTATGTCACGTACTCATTATATCTAATGTTTATTATACTGACGGTTTGTTATACACATTGAAATTACGCCTTATGTTGTTATACCTTTTGTTGATTATATACAGTGAGTGATTATATCCTTACCATTTATATGAAATGTTGTTACACAAAGTGAAAATAGATTATTTGTTGTTCCATTACACCCGGATTTGATTATCTAAAATGAATTAAAATGAAAAACTTTAAAATATATCTCCTCTTTGTATTTTTCATAGACACAGTTCTAAATACAGTAATATGTATGTATGAACTTAGAAAAATTGACAATTCAAATGAACCTGTACTCAGTAATTAGACGGCTATTTATTCCAAAAGCGTGACCAATATTCAGTCGATAGTCGATAGAATATTTATCGACTGCAATCACTGGCTGCTTGCAAGCGGGCAATACTTTTGCGCAGTGAATTGTCATTTTACTCCATTTTCAAAAAAGATAGACTATAGTTTGGAAACCGCACGATGGGACAAAGTTTTGTTCATTACACTTTGATGGCACTTTGATCAATGCACAGATATATGAAATAACGACGGAACAGAAGTGGTAATAAGAAAATGAATTTATTATATGGATAGATGTGTTTCGCGAGACTAGCTGCCAATATCAATACCAACGATTCAACGCCAGTTCTGTTCCAGTTAGTACTCTAATCATTCGATATAATTGTACATTGCATAACACAGGAAGAATACCAAACAAAGACCAAAATTGCAAGACCAAGACTGATTTTGGGCAACACTAACTTAAATCATAAACGCAAAAGGTTTTCATTAATACTCCAGACGTTAGTACATTTCTGCTTAACTGTGGTACGTATAAATAAATACAACAAATACACTTAGTGTCAGCCAAGATCAAGTCATTTTATGGATGTGTACTATTCCTGTAAAACCGTAATCAAGGACTTAAAATTTTGTTAATAAGTAAAAAGTAAAAAATGATTTTGTTGGCACTTGTCGCAAAAAATGGAATTCGTTGGTCCGACGTTTCAAGTTAGGTATAAGAGTTTTATTTTGTTTATGTATTTATTTATTATATTACATATTGCTTACAGATTAATATCCAAACACAATTATAATTCTTAAGCTAATATCATATATTGAAATAATAATGTAATCATATTTAATAAAGAATTGATACAAAATAAATTGAATGAAAATTTACAAATCATTGAATTTTATATATTGCATAAAATAAACTGAATAAAAAATTAGATAAAAATAACAAGTCATGGAATTGGACAAATCGCAAGTACATTATTAACAATCAAATTTTAAAACATTAACATAGTATTAATTATTCGGGACGCACAATACTTATGTGATGCTACTGTCCATGGTCACTGACTCGAGATATCGTCCCGCGGAAACCGTAAAATGGGCTTCCGAGCATGCAAAGAAGTCCAAAGAGGAGTCAAAGATAAGCATCCGATTGAAGTACTTAAATGCGCAGGACAAAGGAGCCAGATCACTTGCCCTAGAACGTGTAGAAGGAATAGCAAATAGCTTTCTTCTGTGAGACCGCACCAGGCTGGTCCTACTACTACACCCAAAAGCCCATCATGGATAGTATGAATGGATTGTACAAGATTCCACGCACTAAGCGAAATATGTAGGCCATAAGAGCTAGATTGCCTCTTACTTCCAACGTTCTGTAGCCGACCATACCCAAAATAAAAGTAGTGGGGTAAAGTAAGGGGTGATAACCGTAAATTTTTCTATAAAGGTTACGAACTAATGACTTCTGAATTTTCTCTAACGTCGATATGTGATTATAATGAATGGGATTCCAAATGATGGCGTTACTTTCTAGCTTGCTACGAACAAAACTATTATACAAGAGACGAGATGTGAGGTCACTTTTGAACGATCTTGATTGTCTCAGTTAGTTTAGATCTGATTACACTTCGAAAATTAAAGAATCAGTTGCTCCTTCGTAACGACTTTTTACGTGCCTGGTCTCTCGATTATGATTATGCTGGAAAAAGGCATAAACTTTTCAGGACGCGCTTTACAAAATATTTAATATAGAAATGAAAACTTGTACAAAAGTTGTTGTTGTTGATTATCCTCTGCACGCAGTAAAAGAAGGGCTAATGTAGCTAGATCTCTGCGCTGAAAATGTAAACCAATTTGCAAGCTAGTAACTAGGTACATGCAAATGACTTGCCTAGTACAAACGTGCCTAAAGTAAGTAGCTGTTAACTTGCCCTTGGGGGGCCGTGGCATTGGAATTCAATGAACGACGCCCTCGTTTACTTTAAAATTTAATGACATTTACACATTGTGTTTACCTGCTCGACAAATTGCTTTGTGGACTTTGTAACATGACTCTCCATTAATCTAAGCTTATTTACAGCCATTTTGGAGACGTTACCAGTCGCGTTAACAGGTTTTCTTTATGAAATTACTAAACTTATAAGCTATCTGACCTTTACCTTGAGAAAGTAAAATCGTACCTATTTTCTTCGAACTGTACACCATGATCGCAGATCATCTTTTCGATGAAAGAATCGGCAACACCTTAATATATGATATGAATCAAATTCAACGTAAGAATTCTATCTACGAAAAGTCGCAAAAAGATTATGTAAGTGAGTTTTGGAAATTCTAATGTACTACTTTTTTTTATGACGCGAAGAACAAGTCGTGCGCCTGGTGGAAAGGGATGCGCGTGTCCATAGCAATTGTAGTGCACTTAGAGCTTTAGGGACACCGCCACTACGCCTGTTACCCTAAGACATAAGTTGATAGCTCCCGTGTGCCTGTACCTAACTTCAACCTTTTTCGTTCAAAATCAGAACGCGGTAGTGTGAAAATTACTGCTTGGCGGCAGATATAGGTAAGTTGGCAGTACTTGCTCTTTCACAAGTAGCACTTCTGCTAAAATACTTATATAGCAACTTATCCTATCGTAACTTTTGAGAATTGACCATTAAAGTTTATTAAATTAAGTTTAAATTATAAAAAGTGAAGGTGTTGTTTTCAATGTGCGATATAGTGATTTGGCGGATAATATAATAACGGCTGCAGTTTCCGTGGCGGATTTGTTTTTTTATGATTTTATATAAATCCTCTCTTTGCACCCCGTAGAAGTAAATAATACCAGTCTCATACTAGGTGGTTAGTCCAGTAAGGTAGTTGGGATGACATCTGGTTAGCGACGTATATAGTAAAACAGGAACAGTCTTAGCTAGTGTCTTTATTCGTTCATGTTGCAAATAAAAGTAAATTAACAAAACTTAAGTAGGTACAATATAATGAATCTTAACCAAACTTCCTACAAAACGGAACCTAGTGATCTATTTAAGATATCAAGTTGTTTCAACACATTGCATCAGTATCTAAAGTATCTCAGTGAACGGACTCGGACTCGGGCGCGCTCGCATTGTTTTCATTCCATTTTAAATTTGAAAGCAAAGCTAATTAACAATGTAAATAAAGGATCGCAATTAAAAACATAATTCATTAAGTATACCCAATTTAAATAATCATTATATAACAGAAATTACTTTTAGGAACTGCTTTGGCACAGTGAACACCACGCTTTTCAAGAACAGGGTTTAAGAGAATTTTAAAATGAAAGTCTAATGGCTTAAATTTTTCATTGAATTGATATTCAATTATTTTTTACGTGTGTACTTACTCCACTACTTTGTTGTAATTATTAATACAAAGATTGAACACTCTGAACAAATTCCTTCGATCCGGCCGGTTTCGAACTGACGTCTTCTAGTAAACCGTGCCAGACGCTATACCAACTAAACCACGGAACGAACCAGCGGACCTCATGAATTTTTCTGTGTGTTTAATGAACACCAGGAGTCCGTGGCGAGCCTACCTGTTTTTTGTTTTTTTTTAACATAATGGAACACAACCGTCACACTAACTATTCACATACGGAATTAAGTAAAATTTTATCGCAAACAATTAAGGTAGTAAAAGCTAAACCTACTTTCTTGTCTTTTCTGAAAGGGTCCGTGGGCTCTTTGACATTTTGAGAGAGGAGAGGTTAAGGAACCCTGGCCTAAACCCTCACCTGAGAGGAGACGTGAAAATGGGTTGACGATTTTCAGCAGCCAGTTAATCTACACTAACCACTCATAGGTGTTATTACGCCATATATATTTAAAAATAATTTTGTCGAATGGAATGTCGAATAACTTAAGTTACAAGTGTAGGTAAGTGTTGATTAAACTTTGTGTGATACAGGAACAAGAGCAGCGCGACCAGCTGGATTCGCAGGATGGCGACGTCTGCGAGATCCATGATCAGTTCTATCGCGACCACAAGTTGTTGCTGGTTCTTTTTCGTGCGTTGGCGGTCATGCCAATTACACGTTCGCGACCAGGTGTGTACCACCCTACCATTACATCGCATAGTTGAAGCCAATACTGTGTAGTATGTATTTCAATGGAAATATCGAGTTCTTAAGTTTTTGTACTTACACGTTACATTAGGAAATGAAACAATTCCTTTTTGGATCTAAATAGCGTTTACTTGTTTTTTCAAACAAATCAACATTTCGGGGCTTTTGGGAGACGTGATCATGGGACCCGTAAAGGGCTCGTAATGTTAGTTTGTTTGAAAAAACTAATATACGCGATTTAGATTCGCAAAAAAAAATGTTTCATTTCCTATTTAATGGAAATGACACGAAAGTTGACTTATTCGTTTAGTGACGGTAGTGATTCTAACGTGCGATATATTCTGGGAGTTTTTCTTTCATAATAACAAATAAGTAATTAAGGTCTTTATTGAGTCAAGATATGTGTATGATATCTTAACATTAAGTGACATAATTATGCTAGGAACATTGAAATGTAACGCGTTTTACTAATTGCACAAATGTTTCTCTACATGGCTACGCAATTTATATCAGCTGTAAATACAGTACAGAATGAAATATTCGTGTAAGGGAATCTCAGCGACGAATCGACTTCAGGCGGTCAGAAAAAGCTATATGTTCATACAATTAGAGCGATAAAGACGTTGCAACTTTCGCTTCAACTTCGAAACATTAGTTTCGTGCATGAATTCTATAGGCTACATAACCGTTTCTTTTCTTATCGACCTCGGTAGCCCAGAGGTCAGCACAGTAACCACTACTTGACGAAGTCCCAGACTCGATTGGTCCTGGTTCCGCTTTGGGTATTCCGGCTATTGCCCCTGAAGTTAATTTCGTTACTTTGGTATTCATAAGGATGTTTCCTGGTTTGAGACCAGATTATTATTGTGGTCATATGGCACATTATTACTTTTGACCAAAATAAATTGTAATCAATAAAAACAGTTCCGTGATTTAGTTGGTATAGCATCTGGAATGGTTTGTTAGGAGACGTTGGTTTGAATCCAGCTGGATTCAAGTGATTTTTTTCTAAGTGTTCGATCTTTATAATTATTAATACAAAGATCGAACACTCAGAAAAAATTCCTTCGATCCGGCCGGATTCGAACAGACGTCATGTAGCATACCGTGCCAGACGCTATACCAACTAAACCACGGAACGAACTAGCGGACCTCACGAATTTTTCTATGTGCTTGCATCGTATCTTTGTATTTGGTTTTTCAACGACTTTTTGGCCGTAGCGCCATCTATGAGTAATCTATGATATTTCGTCACCCAGTTAGATAGATACCTTTATAGCTACCTGTAAATTGTTCGATCCTTGTTCAATAATTATAACAAACTAACGGAGTAATTTCACAAAAAATAATTGAATAGCATAGTGGTGAAACATCCTGCTTCAATCATCCTGCGCCTGCTAGCGGTAAAGGTACTGGATGAAGGCGCTGAATGAAGAAAAACTTTCATAGATTTCTCACAGATAGCAAACGGCAAAAAATCGGTGAAAAAACCAAAACAAAGATCAATTCGTGAGGTCCGTTTGGTTCGTTTCGTGGCTTAGTTTAGCGTCTGGCACAATTTACTACGAGACGTTGATTCGAAAGCAACCGGATTGAAGTGAATTATTCGACCTTTGTATGTTTGTATAATTTCACAAAAAAATAATTCAATATCATTAAAAACACAATAAAAACTGGTGTTAAAAAGACAAATAAATGTACAGTCAAGAGCACATCAAGCTTGACACTTTGTACTTTGGACCGTTCTTATCGTAAGCGGCATAGAGTTGGATTAAAATCTTAAGTGTCAAGTTTGATATGCTCTCCATCCTGTACAACCGAGATCAGCACTAGGTTTCCATTTATAAGAGATTTCGTCAAAAGTGAATGGTTCAAAAGTTCCGATTATATTATCAGCATTGGTATTGGACACTTGCTGAATCAACAACGACTATTTATTATTATTTTCTTGTCACTTAGGTGCAATAACATTCAGCTGGACATCAAGTGCAACAATCTACGCAATATGCTTCTATATATTAGCTACAATTGTCGTCTTAATGGTCGGCTACGAAAGAATTTTGATCTTTAGTTCGATCCGCAAGTTCGACGACTACATCTACGCGATCCTGTTCATTGTATTCCTCATCCCTCATTTCTGGATACCTTTCGTGGGTTGGGGTGTCGCTAGTCAGGTTGCCATTTATAAGACAAATTGGGGAAAATTCCAAGTAAGTAATGCTGAATAATTCTGAATTTGATACAACTAATACAACTTAATATTTGTAAATCGTGTTTTTTTTTTAAATGTAATGATATTATTATAAAATGTTTATTTCTTGCTCACATGTTTTAACCTTTTACCTTTTTATTGAATCGATTCACTTGAAAATAACATTGAAATTAATCGATTAAAAAGTAGTTAGATCGTATACACTTGAATCGATTTTCATAAAAGTCGAACTGTAATGCATCCCTAGTAGTAAGTGAGAATCCACAGGATTACGTGGTGGGTATTGTGTGGAGTTGCCTCTTTTCCGTCTAAGAAAAATTTCTTTCATCGAAATCCTAATAATTATGGGATTATACCAACTTCCGTATTATTTCACGCGTATAATGGTTTTCGACCACGATTTTGGGCAGAAATGAATATACATATATATATAAAACAACATTACAACATAAATAGAGAGGTGGATTTGCAAGGACACGGAACTACATATCGTATTGAGTATAAGACAGTTTTGATACAAAAAAAATAAAAATACGTAATAATTAAATAATCAACAGTATAAAGATAAAATTTGTGCATGATGTTAGTTTATTAATTAATCTTCATTCAATTCCCAGGTCAGATACTACCGAGTAACAGGCAAGAATCTGCAGTTCCCAAATCTAAAGATCTCCATAGTTATTATAAGTGTGGGCTGCCTCCTCCTGGCGGTCGGCTTCCTTATGAGCCTCTGTGCTCTGTTAGACGGTTTTTTGCTGAAGCATACGATGGCGTATTTTCATATTATTACCATGATTAATATGAACTGCGCACTTTGGTACATTAATTGTAAAGCCATTAAGATTGCCTCACAGAGCCTCTCGGATTGTTTTCGTAAGGTAAGATTTAAGTTATAACTATTGTATAATTAATTATAGGTCCTTCTCGTTCGTTATAGCTACGCTATTGAAGGTTTGCTTGAAATTCTACACAACAAATTACTATAATTAATTATGTATATTTTTATAATTATATAAATAATTATGTACATTTATACTATATACATATATATAAACGATTAAAGATTTTGGGACGTAGATTTGTTGTTGTGTTTTTTTATAATATCAAGTGACGGGACGAACAACTAGTGCGCCTGATGGTAAGCTACACGCCTGTTCAGTGCCACTCAGAGCAAACATCTGAAGGGCACTGCCACTGCGCCCGTCACCTTGAGACATAAGTTGACAAGTCCCATGTGCCTGTAATTTCACCAGCACCCTTACCCTTCCAAATCGGAACACAGGAATGCTAACATTACTGCTTGGCGGCAGAAAGAGGTAAAGTGGCGGTACTACCCTGAACGAACTCTTTCACGAGGAACTCTACTGTTATTAAAATAATGTGTGACTGTTCCTTAAAAATTTAAATCGATTTTTTCGAAGTAATCGGTGTTCTTAGGTTTTCGAGATTATTACACATAGGAAATGAAACTATTTTTCTGGATTTAAACCGCGTTTATTTGATTTTTCAAACAAACCGACGTTTCGGGTCCTTTACAGGTCTCATGGTCACGGTTAAATCCGGAAAAATAGTTTCATTTCCTAATGGGTGTTTATATACAAATAATGTAATAATGTAGTAAATGTAAATATCAATATTTTCTCAATGATTTTAAGCTGCACTCACAAGCTCTTAAGCGCCTTAAGCTCTTAGAGACAAAGTTAACTTTATAAAATTTTCGGATATTTTTGAACGCACCAATTATTTTGACGCTGATTATACTTAGTTTGAAAATAATTCAGGACGTTGACGAAAACTGCACTGCCAGTGTGATATCGCGGTACCGCTTCCTTTGGCTGAACCTCTCCGAACAACTGCAACTCCTAGGAAACGCGTATGCCAGAACTTACTCCACTTACTGCCTGTTTATGTGAGTGTCAACAATATACTCTATTATAAGGCTCATTGCACAGAAGCGGTGACGAGCTGTGGAATTGCAACCAATAGAATTACAGTACTTTGATCATGCGGCTCAAAGACGTCACAAAGAAATCAGTTGCTGAAAAACAGCCCTTGACCGCTCGGTTTTGAAAGGATGATATCATCATAATGTTCATTTATTGTCCGACTGTACATGGTGTGTCACGAACTTGCTCTAGACGGCCTGTGACTTTGACGATGTCGAAGTTGTCTACCCATCAACTAATTAGGAATGAGGACATTCCTATTGCAGAATGGTCGGTCTCTCGCTCCGTTCAATCTGTTAGGAATTTCTAAAGCGTCACTTGACACCGACACATTATGATAAGTCTTTCAATAGCTGGGCATTCAGGAAGGGAGCACCGGCGGCCACTCTGGATAGAAACATCTGACCAGGTGGCTGTTAAAATATTTATTTAAATACAATTACGAATAAACCAATATTGTTAATTGAGTCTGACCTTACACAGGCTGCGGGACGAATATGTATCCACTTTTTGGTCACTGTTCGGTTGTCGCTATTTTTATTTCTACTCGATATATTCATAACTCTGAAATCATTAATCATTTATTTCTGGCCAAGAAGTTGTATATTATACTAAGTTGATAATAACAAATATAGGTATCGAGTTCTTAGGATTTCGTGATTGTCACACATTGGAAATGAAACTATTTTTTATATTTATTTTTTAAAACAAATTAACGTTTTGAGCCTTTTAGGAACGATGCCCACATAAGGGCGCGACTTGCCGTAAAAAGCGCGAGATACGGCTATTCTCGCATAGAGATCTCACGCTTTATGTCTGCTATTGTGCTAGCCCTACTGAGCGGTGATGCTACGTTGTACTACGTATAAACTAGATCTTTTTTTTTAACATCAAGTGACGGGACAAACAAGTCGTGCGCCTGATGGTAAGCTACACGCCTGTCCATAACAGTTACTGTGCCACTCAGAGCTTTAAATGGCAAAGCTCCGAGGGCCACTGTCAATGCGCCCGTCACCCTAAGACATAAGTTGACAAGTCCCATATGCCTGTAATTTCAAATCAATCTAAAAAATTTACAAGAAAACCGCTGTATTCAATAGGTACATTTACATATACCAATGATTTTTTTAATATCAACTGAACTAAATAGAACATATATAGTATACGATATACATTTTTCAATTGGCTTTAATTTCGCTTGTAAAAAATAAATTCTGAAATAAAGCCGCTCGACCAAGCAAAATGAATTAGTATGGGAAACATTTGAATTCGAGCTTTCTTATTATCGTGTTGCCGACAAAACAGAAAAAGCCCCGAGGGCGGCCTTCTCTCGTTTCAAAGCTAGTTCAGAATATAGCTGACGCTAATTATCAAAACATAATCTCAATTACCTTTAACCTCGTAAGGCCCAGTGTACATCAAAATATATGTAATGTGAGAAGTGATTCAGACCCAGATATTATTATTTATATGATCACGTAAACACCAAATGTACATTATAATGAAAATATCGCATTCAAATTTAACGCTGTATATTCTATATACCAGGGTATCTAGAAAAATACATAAAAAATTATGGATGCATTTTTCGTACAAAACTGAGGGCATGCGTACTTGGGCCTGAAGCATATTATTATATATTTATTACATTTTACATTGTACATTGGGCGTTTAACAATTTTGCCATTGTTTATTGGAAGTAATCTTCTCAACCAAATATTCGCTTTCTAACTTATAACAGGTAACAGAATAAAGAGTTTCAGTTCAACCTATTATCCCGAAATGTTGGGATAATACACCTACCCTATTATCCCGACGTTTCGGTTTCGTTTACATTTAGAAATTTCTTCATTGCGCGTGTCGCCGTTTTGTATCGTCAGTATAATGCAACGCGAAAGTTAGAAGCGTATATAGTTTAGTTCAAGTACATTTTTTGCTATAGTCGTCACCAAATAAGAGGCCAATTTGACACTTGTCATCGTGACGCGAATAGGGATGTGGACTAATCATATCGGTAATCACTTTATACAATTTTCACGAGAAATCGATTCAAAATTTTAAGACTTTGTGATTGTTTAGATTATTTTTCGGATCATTGTTGTTTAGGGGGCCTAAAAGGCCAAATCGTGCAATACTGTTAAAAGCAATTAATTTGCAGAATTCCATGCATTTCTGTAGCAATTCCTCTTATTTTCTTAAAATTGTCCCACATTCCGATGAATTGTATCCATTTCTTTTAATTTCGATTTTATAGATATTCATAAATGGTTTATTACGAGAATTTAGTGTAAATAAGTATGTATTTCATAAATTTTCAATTCAAAAAGAAAATACAAATCTGGCTATGAGGCTCTTTTAAATTTGATAAATTACCAATTTATTTGGAATAGGTGTGGTCATAGAAATAATCTAAAAAAAAAATAACACCAATTTTCGTACATATTTGTTTTAATATTTAATAAGTCAATATTTTTTCCGAGAAATCGAAGTGACTCGGTGAAATTCGGTGATTAATTGCTTAAAACACTATTATTTAAAAAAAAATTGTTTGAGGACGAAACAGTTACGTCCTCAAACAATTTTTTTTCAGGACGTTTCGGAGTAACTCAAAATTGCATTTTATTTTGGAATTCGTGCGAAAATAGTACATCAAATATATTTTGTCATATTATGTAATGTTTTAATAAAAATTATGTATTTTTTAAAAACTCAATTCTGCTAATAATTGTTTGTTTATTGCTTCGTTGATCGCATTCAAAGTTACATACTATCGCCTTCGTTAGCTGTCATATTTGGCCTCTTATTTGGTGACTATAGATCTAGAACAATAGATTTTGAATTGTCAAACAACTTGATGTAATATTATGGAATGTGAATTATGTCGATGCGCATCAGTTTTTCTTTTTTTAACCGACTTCAAAAACAGAGGAGGTTCTCAATTCAATCGCATTTTTTTGTGTGTATGGTACGTGATTACTTCGATATTTGTGAACCGATTTCGATGATTTTATTTTGTTTGAAAGGGGGTAGCTCAATAGTGGTCCCAATCAAATTTGAAGATTCCACCTCTAGAGGATGAAACCAGTTTATTGGATTTCACCCATTTACCGTTAACCGATTTCTATAAAACTTAGCAAATGGATGTAATTCAAATTTAATACAAATTTTTTCGATCGATTTTTTTTAGACCGAAGAAATTCGAAGACGAACTAAAGTTCAGGACATAAGACATCGGATAATGGACGTATACTGGTGTTGGGTAGGATATTTGCGAGGCCTGGTGAAGACTGATCGAGTAATGGGACAACCGAATTGTGGCCACGAAATGGTTATACATTTCAGGTTACAGATCGAAATTTTAAATGTGGATTTCGTCACAACCTCCAGAATCACATTTTTATGCTAGTTTCAAACGTGAGGAATGTTTTGAGGAACGATCGAGTGATCCCGTTCGTAGATTGTGAAATTTGAATGGATGACGACAAGAAAGCGCTTCAATTAGACACTAGTTTCCAGTTACTTAAGCTTAGTTAGCTTGAAAATCTACACACATCAAAACTGCCTAGGGATCAAGCACGTTTTTGATAGTTACTGAAAATCAGGTTTTATAATTTTTTTTAACACTAATGAATTTTTTTTGGTCAATTTCATTTTCAAATTTAAATTACAAATGCTCGATCCCTAGACAGTTTTGTTGTATGTATTTACAACTTGGGCCCCAGAGTTTCTTTGAGAGATAAGTTTAAAGAAATTAATGTTCTTATACTGACGTCGCAGTACATTTATGAAAATGTAGTTTATGTTAAGAAGAATAGTAATTTTTTCAAGAAAAATAGTATTAGACATAATATTAATACGAGGAATAAAAATAAACTAGTTGTTCTTGATAGTCGTCTTCACAAAGTAAGGAATTCATTTAAGGGGCAATGCTTTTACAATAAGATTCCAGTTGATGTTCAGAACTGGCCGTTTACGATACTTAAAACTATAGTGAAAGAAAAACTTAATACAGCTTCTGCGTACTTGGATGACAAAAATGCGTGGTACCTGTTTAAACAGCAACTTTATAAAAAGCAACCCCTAGAGTTTCTTGCTCATTCTTCTCAGGGGAATCTGCCTTATGAACGAGCAGTATCGTTTATCAATATGATGATTTCAAGCTTTTTTCTTAGCATTGTGGGCAAATTGTATGCAAAGATTTTGATAGAGAGAGTTGTGAAAGAGAAGGAAGGGAATGGGATGTACGGACTAAGTCTTCTCCTTCTCATTACGGAGAAGTTTCTGGTAAAGAGAAGAAAGTGTTTTGCGCATTTGTGGATCTGGAGAAGGCTTATGACCGAGTGGAGAGGGATATACTGTGAAGGGTGTTGTCCTAATATGGAGTGGGGAGCCATTTGATACACGCACTGAAATTACTGTATGAGGAACCCAGTGCGTGTGTCAGAGTTGACGGCGCATTTTCTGATTGGTTTGGCATCTCCAAAGGTCACCTTAGCTCTTAATTTTTTTTTTATTTTCTTTTTATTCTAATGTAAGTGTGCATTTGACCTCCATCTCACCTGATGGAAAGGGACAATGAGGTCGACGATGGAGCATGCACACCTAGATAATGCCTATTCACTCTCGCCTTGAAAAGGTCCAAGTTATAACGTTCAGGGAACAAGTCTGCAGGCAGGGAATTCCACTCCATAGCCGTTCGCCATATAAATGTGGAAGCGTAATGCTTCGTGCGAATCTTTGGAATATCCACAACATAGGGGTGGAAGTCAAGCCTACGCCTAGTCCCCCGATGATGGAAAGGGGAAGGCGGAATTAAATCGTGTAATTCCATCGCACACTCTCCGTGATATATCCTGTAAGATACCGATACGCAGGCAACTTTATGGCGGTGTTCAAGGCTCTGCAGCTTCGCCTCTACTAATTCAGAGTCACCTATAAGGCTCTTGGCACGCTGTCAATTGAATCCAAGGTGGCCAGTTGATATGTAGCAGAGCCATCCCAAAGGTGGCAACAGTACTCCATACATGACCGGACTTGTGCTTGATACAGCTGCAGCAACTGTCCCGATGTGAAGTAACGCCTCACCCTGGAAAGGATGCCAAGCTTCCTGGCTGCATTTTTGGCCATGGATTCAACGTATCTGCCGAAGTTCACATTGGACGACAGGTCCATTCCAAGTAGCTGGAGACGGTCGGCTATTGGTATGGATATATCACGAAAAGTCGGAGTCAGCTCAAAGGGACTCCGTTTAGTGGAGAATAGACACGCCTGCTTTTGGTAGCGTTAAATTTGACAAGATTGGCATCGCCCCAATCGGAGACTGCCTTGAGCGTCAAATCTAAACGGCTAACCATGGGCTCTAACAGTGGGAGGCCCATAACATGGAAGCTTGCTTAAAAGGCTTGCGTGCCAGACTCTGTCAAAGGCTTTAGAAATGTCCAAAGACACTGCAAGTGCTTCGCCTTGCTTTTCTATAGCCTCGCTCCATATGTGACAGACATACACAAGAAGATCCCCGGTAGATCGCCCTCGTCGGAATCCATACTGGCGATCGCTGAGGAGGTCATTGTCTTCAAGGTATGACAGGAGACGGTTGTTGAGTACACGTTCCATAGTCTTGCAGAGTATAGAAGTGCCTGAGATAGTCTATAGTTGACAAGGTCAGCTCTGCTTCCCTTTTTGGGCACAAGTTGCACGTTTGCAAGCTTCCACGACCTGGGAACTACACCAGTATCAAGTGAGATAGCGATACAGGCGTGTAAGAACAGGAGACAACTCAGGCGCACAGTTACGTAGGACTACCGCTGGAATTCCATCTGGCCGGCTAGCTTTATTCACGTCAAGATTCCGCTGAGTTCTAAGTACATCTTTTTGGCTTTTGCGAACTGGCGCCATAGCGCAGCCAGCCTGAGGTAAGGTAGGTGGTACGTTCCCTGCGGCATCCAGACGCGAACTTATTGCAAAGAGTGAGACAAAGAGATTCGCCTTCTCTTCTGCAGTATGAGCCAGCGTGCCATCCGGCCTCAGCAGAGGTGGCAAAGATGGGTGACAAAAGTTACTTTGGACCGCTTTGGCCGCGGACCTAAAGGATTTGCTACCTGCTGGATAAGAGGCAAGCTTGGCCCCTATGCGGCGCACGTGGTCGAACTTGGCACGTAACACGCTTTTGCACTTCTTGGCGGCTATATTAAAAGCTTTCTTCAGATTCCGAGTACTCGGAGCTTTGCGCAGTCGAGCATCTGCCCATGCTTGGTACGCGGACTGCTTTTGTGCTTCAGCACGACTACAGTGAGCGTTAAACCATGGACGAGTTTGGGGTCCATTGGGTACATCGGAGTATGGTATGTAATACTCCATACCCAAACGCAAGACCTCGACTACAGCATCAGCACAGCTCGACGAGTCTTCTGAAGAAAAGCAAACCTGCCAAGGATATGACGCAAAGAAATGGTGCATTTCATCCCAATCTGCTAACCTGCATCGCCACATCCGTCTTATACCACTAAGGCCCTGATCGGGTGGGGAGGGAGAGATTTGTTTATGGACAACTGCATTCATGCTGGAGCTGCGTGAGAGTGATTATGGAGTGAAAATGGGCAAGTCCAGCATCAAATGCCTCGTATACGTTGACAATCAAGCGATCCTTGCGCCGTTGGAGAGAGGGTTGCAAAAAATGCTAGATATTATGAATGAGTCATTTAGAAAGAAAGGTATGAAGATTAATGCAGAGAAGACGAAAGTGATAGTTTTTGAAAGAAATGAGAACGTGATAGATACAAAATACAAGGTATGAATATTGATCAAGTGAATGAATTTGTGTATCTGGGTAGTGTGTTTACAAAAGATGGAAAGTTTGATGAGGACCTTGAAAGAGGGGTACGAAAGGGAAATGGAGTAAATGGAGCCGTAAATGGTCTAATAAGGAGCAACATCTTATCCAAAAAAGCACACATGTCCATACACAATGCTTTGCTGGTTCCCACAGTGATGTTTGGTAGTGAGAATTGGGTATGGCAGAAGAAGCATGAAAGTAGAATTAATGCAGTAAAGTGGCGTTCCGACGTCTCTGCCTACCCCTCCTGTGGGACTATGGCGTGAGTTTATGTATGTATGTACGCTTTTAAGTGTAATTTGCTTACGTATGAAATAAAGATTGTTTGAGTTTAGTTCTCTTACAGGAAAAAATATTCCTAATATAGTTTTAGATAATTATGAGTTGATGCAATAGTTTAGTATGTTTTCATCTTTACCAGGTTCGTCAACATAACGATCGCAATTTACGGTGGACTCTCGGAGATAGTGGACCACGGGTTCGGGTTCAGCTTTAAGGAGATGGGGCTTTTCGTGGATACAGCCTACTGTTCTACATTGCTTTTTATTTTTGTCGACTGCTCGCATCAATCTACGCTCAAGGTGTAACAAATTTGAATGTTATATTAAGTATATTTGGTTGTACTTTTCGCTTGTAAAATCTCTGTTTCTCTGATGCGTATTTGATACATGAATTTTCTTTTCTAGACCCTTAGATATACAGTGTGTTGATTTGCAATCTCACCATATTTAAGACATTAATAATAGAAATCATGCTAAATCATATAAACATATTCAAAAAATATTCTGTTCAATATTTTTACTATTACAGTTTTTGTACTATTAAAGTGTTGCATAATTGTCATCTTAAATTATATGCACCGCGCGAGGGCAGTGACCCCGCCACCCGCTTCACCAAGCGATACGTAATCTTTCTCGATAGCTTATTTACCTATTTTCTAAATTATGATTATTTATTAGTATTCTTATAATTTATTAATTATTTACATTAATTAGAAAAGTTGACTGGTTAATGTTTTGGTTTTTTAAGTATTTGGTACTTACCAACTTTAGGTTACATGAAGTATTGCTAGAAGTACCTAGCTCCACAACTGGTGGCTTTGCAGAGATTTGCACGTGAGTTTCGTTTCAACTTCTTAGCACAAATTTGACTTCACAACTTTAAAAGCAGAGACGATTTTTGCAGGCAAGTTTCGACACTCGTAATTTCCTCCGCGAACGAAACGTTTCACATAATATCATAAGAATGCACTTGCACTTGATGGTAATACAGGTTCTGGTGAATATGAGATAGCAATACTTTCGCGGTTCCTCCGGCTGCGCCGTTTTGGTAGCACGTACCGTACAAGTCAATGACCTTTGGATTAAGCGGATTAGGTGATTGCGAATCGATGTTAACCGCAATTAAATAAAAATAAGAATTTAGGGTTTTTTTTTCGATTTTTGTTTTTTTTTTTAGCGATTTGGGTTCAGTTTCGGATATGCAATGACCTCTGTAAATATGGTGAAAATGCAAATCGACATATTGTATAATGTGACTTTCAATAATTTTATCAAACAAAACTATAAAATCAATTGAAATCTGATTAGGTACGTACTTGCTTTACTCTACACGTGTAGAGTCGAGTTACGGCGTAGTAGATGCTTAGTTACTACGCCGTAGTTGCATTGTATTGTATTGTATGTTGTGTTCATGAAAATATTTTTTTCTAGGTAGCGGCCGGAGTTCAAGACACACTATTATCAATAGACGTTCTAGCTGTCGATAGACCTACACAGAAAGAGGTACAATCACAATTAATTTAAATTCCTTTTTTAAGTCCACACATATGTATCGAAATATTGCGGACTCTATTTTTTTTAATTGTTACAATAACTACTTAGGTACAATTTAAATAGCCATGGAAGGAAATGGTAGCGAATTTCTGTAATAAAATGTATATAGCATAATGAGCAAACATTACGTCCATTGTTTAAAGCATAAACATTTTTTTTGGTCTTTGGCCTAATGGTAAGCTACACGCCTGTTCATATCATTGCAGTGGCACTCAGAGCTTTAAATCGCTAAGATCTGAGGGGCACTGCCACTGCGCCCGTCACCCTGAGACATAAGTTGACAAATCCCACGTGCCTGTAATTTCATTAGCACCCTTACCCTTCAAAACCAAAACAGTGATGCTGACATTACTGCTCGGCGGCAGAAATAGCTAAGGTGGCAGTACTTTCCTGGCGAATTCTTTCACTGCGGAGAATTCTCCGAAAAACGCGCGACCTGTTACTCGTATGTCGTACTTTGCTTTAACAGCAGTTGTAAATTCTGCGTAAATCAAACAATATTTAAATTTAAGAAGTCGGTTAATACCATTCAACATCCCCATGCCAATTAAAATGTATTGAATGGAGCGTATAATCCGCAGATAGACCATTTCATCCAGGCAATCGAGATGAACCCAGCCGTCGTCAGCCTTAAGGGATACGCCGACATCAATAGAGAGCTTCTTACATCGGTAAGATTAATTAAATTGTTAAAACAAACCGGTGAAATTGGATAGTAAACAATATTTGCTTTGTGATATTGATTGTAATGAATATTATGATATTTTACTTCCATGATATTATTTTTTTGTGAAATTACTCCACTAGTTTATTGTAACAAAGACCGAAAAAAAATCGTTCGATCTGACAGGATTCGAACCTGTGTCTGTATGTCAACCGGGCAACCGTCCTTGTCAATATCAGATAGCTGTAAAAGTACCAGCCTCCGTAGTATGCCGCTTCGATAATGCTATTACATCTACATTTAGCTCTCAAATTCGAGTGATAAACAGGCATTTTAAATAGCTCACATGACGAGTGCCTGCAAAAGATTAACACAGTGTCAAACATGGCTGCAAGGTCATAGCTGATTTTAAAACATTTTGACAGTTTTATCAACGTAAAAATTGAGCGCGATAAACGAGGTGAAAAGTAATAATAAAAACAAAGAAATTCATATATAGTATAAATTATCGGATAAAGTTCAGGAAAACATTTTCAATATAGTTCACATGAGAGTAATTAGAATTACGTAAATAATAAGTAATATAACGTAAAATTTGTAAAAACAGAAACTACAAAAACCCGACATTTTGCGACGATGATCAAATGACAAAGATATAGATAGCCATAGGATACGAAATCGTGTATATAGCTAATATATGCAATTTTATATCGTTGTCATTGTTCTTTAAAATGTTTAAGAATAATAAACAATCCAAACAAACAAACTTGGTTGATAAATCAACTGAAATAAATAAGTTGTCACGGGGAGGTTTATCACACATAATTAAACTGCCCTGCAACGGTCACTGGTTGTGTGAAGAAAAACTTTCATAGATTTCACACAGGTGGCGCTGGCCCTACGGCAAAAAAGGCCGTTAAAAAACAAAATACAAAGATCTGTAACAAACGAATAAAGAAATTCGTAAGATCTGCTGACTCACAGAACTGCTGTTTCAGTTGGTTGTGCAGTTGCCCTAGATTGGCATACAGACACACGTTCGAGTCCTGTCATATCGAAGGAATTTGTCTTTGTTTTCGATCCCTATATTAACAATAATATTTGCTTTGATCATTAAAACTCTTTGAGTCTTCTTGCCAGAAGTTCGTTTTTTGTATCATCACATCGCGATGTGGGTCTCTGAAGGTTAAATAATGTAATCGGGCCTTAGAGGGTGGAAAATCGAGCTGTACGATTTTCTTTTTTTTACTCAAAATATTTTTGCTTCCGATTCCGTCGTGATATTCTTTTTTTAAATAAATTACACAAAATTCAAACTTTTTAGATGTTGTTATCACTAAATAACATTGACTTACAAATAAATGGACGACGGGTCTAATACAAAAACTACGAAAAAAATGTCCCAAGTCAACCTATTCGAAATTTAAATTGTAATGTCATCGCAGTATCGCGCTGTCCGTAAAACAAATGAAGACTAAAGCGGAGTGTCGCGCTCTGTATACGATTTTAGCGCCTTACAAGTGCGGACACTTTTTAGCGCGGACCCGACGTCCATATAATTGTAAGTCAATGCTAAATAAGTAAAAAAAGAAACCGCACTAACTACTATCAGTAGGAACCTAGCCCACTCCACTGAGTATTTGATATATACTCCCGGACACATAATTCGAGTCACCTTGCATTTTCAATATTGAATGCCCTTACCTTAAACAATGATCAAGAACTGATACGCAACTTTGAAACTGGAAAATTGAACGTCATTTCCTTAAGTCCTTATTGAAAATTTGAATTTAGAAAACCGGAGAAAAATTTTGTACGGTGCCAATAATATTTTTATATTCCAGCCCTTTATGGATAAAAATGCAAGGTGGCTTAAATTAATTAAATTATGTGTCTGGGAGTGTATAATGTATAGAGGTATTATAACACTTTAAAAATCAAAATGAACCTAACCTTATTCATTAAACTTTAATTAGAAAAAAATCCTTCGATAAAAAGTCTTTTAAAACATTAAAAAAACCATAAAACTCGCAACAAGCACATAGAAAAGTTTGTAAGGTCATTTTTTTCAGTGTTCGATCTTTGTTATTAATAATTATAACATTCATTCACATAACATTCTTTATTATAATTGTTGAAAGCACTTAGATGAATTACCGGTATTTGGAAAAACTTATTTTAAGTTTATTAAAATACAGTTTAATATATGTAATTGTATTATAAATAAATAGATAAAAAATACATGAAATTTATATCAACTTTTTTGGCCACAAATCGGTTGAATTTTTGTTTGTGTTCTTCGATTTTTGTGTGAAAAATAATAACAAACCAGTGGAGTATTTTCACAAGAAATATAATGAATATCACGGTAGTAAAAATAATATGATATTCAATAATAAATATACAAAATAATTTGAGGTTTCTTTGTGACTTACTTCATATTAATTTTATTTTTTATTTAGATACACCATCGGCACATACATAGAGAAATTGATTTACCATGTAAATTTTTATGCAGTATATTGTACCATTGCAGGGGTATACAGCAAATACGCAAGATCAAAATCTTTATTTTAAAAAGAAAACAGAATATAAAAAAATCTAAAAAAAAAAGAAAACGGGAACTACTATCCAAGATAGAAACAAAACCCTTAAGACTTAAAGCAGTTGTGACATTCTGTTTGAACTTGTATAATGAGTCGTGAAAGATGTCAACTTCGTCATTATCAACATTATTGAAAGTTCTCATGCTACATTAAATTGGAGAAAAATGGCCAATGTTAGTAGACGGTACTGGAACAAAGTACATAAATATATTTCTTTTATTAAGTTGTAACTGCTCGGTCATGGTTTTAATTTGGTATTATTGATTCAAGAATTAATTAATAAACTGTAGTGCGTTTAAACCTAAAATCTTAACAAATTAAATAATAATAGGGTACATAATAATCATTCCATCTATAGAAAATACGATTATACAGAGAAAAATGTGGCGGAAAACTATATTGCAACCGCTGGATTTGACCCCAGCTTATATTAGCATTAGTTAAATTTATTACCAGCGACCCAAATACGTAATGCTATTCACGGGGCTCTTTTAGAAAGAGAGTTTAGGCCCTAATCCACTAAACTACTCAATATGGGTCGGGGAATGAATACGTCTTCGAAGAGATGTGATAAGGACGGCCGAGACACGCCTGGTCGGTCAGCAGCAATAAAACAAGAGTGAAAAATAGAAGTTTTATTCAAGGTTCTTAACAAGATGTATGAGACCTTTTCTACTGGTTTCATTACGTTTTCCAGCATTATTAAAGCATGTGCTTATTCGAAAACTTTTTATTTTTTTATAGTATCAAGTGACGGGACGAATAACTCGTGCGCCTGGTGGTAAGCTACACGCCTGTCCATAACAGTTGCAGTGCCACTCAGAGCTTTAAATCGCAAAGATCTGAGGGGCACTGCCACTGCGCCCGTCACCCTAAGACGTAAGTTGACAAGTCCCATGTGCCTGTAATTTCACTACCACCATTACTGCTTGGCGGCAGAAATAAGTAAGGTGGCAGTATTTCACAAGGAGCTCTACTTCTACTATAGAAACTAAACTACACGTCGCATCCTAAGTGTAACAAGGCCTACCAAACGACAACTTTTCAGGAGGGAGGTTTAAAGATTCTACGAATGAAATTACTGGATAACGTTTTATGTTTTCGGAGGAGATCTATAAAATCTCACATACACATAATTTGTTTCATGGAGTTAAGTGTTATTTCTATGACTTTCGTGCACGAAAGGAGCCTTCCCGCACGACGTAGCATTCCTTTGCAGCACCTCTGGCACACCCTGGGCAACAATCGGGGAGAAACCGATTGGCAAATCCTTTCGCCAAGATGGCAGCATTACATACTATATCCAACCATTTATTTAATTTTTGACAGCTCGAATTCTAATCAATTAGTGATGTCCTAATGCATTTCCGATTCGATTGTTTTATAGCAATCAATTTTATTTATGTAGGAGTTTAAATCGTGAATGTGAGCGGTAAAAAAAAGAGATATTGTCTGATCGGGATCATGATGTTACCTTTGACAATTTGCGTACTCAAGAATTAATAATTAATGTTAATGAGGATTCAAATGATTTGATTCTCGTTCACATGGAGAAGAATCCGACTATTCGTTATAATAAACAATAGAAATTTATTATAATTATTTGTAATTTATTTCATTTCATTATATTAGACAGGTACCAAAATTCATCAACTTGAATAATCTTCGATACATAATCTGTTGGCTCGATAAATATCGGAGCTAAAGAGCACGTAGCTTACTTAAAATTAAAAAATAAAAGAGGCCAGAAGGAGAAAGCTTACAGGATGGAAAAAAAATAAAGGAAAGGAGCTGCCATATCTACGGAATAAACGTCCCTACTTAAACCAAAAATGTTCACCACAAATGGCGGATTTAGTGTTGTACCATAATCATAGATAAGTCAATATCGACATGCAAATATATGGCTTGAATGTTGAAACTGTTGTTTCTGTGTTTTATGTTTGCAAAATTGTGTAGTTTACTGTAATCAAAGTATGATTAATACTAGGCTATTATTACTAGGCAACTAATGAGCCATTTTAGTCAAAATTAAATATAAAGTTATTTGCCAATAAATGTAACGATGGAATTGCATTATCATGTGATCTAGTTACATTCAAAATTCTATTTAAATTTGAATGGAGCGAACAAACAAAGATGGTATTTGATCCAATGTTTATGTTCGGCAGTTCTATAATTTCCAATCATTCTTTCTTTCTCTTTTTTATTTGTAGGTAAATTTTAAAAATAATAATAATGAAATAATAAAAACCTCGTAGTGAATTGTTTCAATAACAGATTATCTATAATATGTCTGCTTACAAGAACAACACTATCTCAAAATAATCGTTAACAACAATCATCAAAATATACTAACAAATAGGCCATCTGAAGTAACAGGCAATCTAATAAGTCTACA